CTTGCCCTGAACTCGACAACATTTTGTCATCTAACACCTGACAAATATGAGAAAAAGACGTACAAAAATTAAATTGGTCGTACTTTAAAAGGTAAGGTGAGTGTCTCTAACTGTTAAAGAGCCATACTAACTTCAAAGGAAAAATATTTCTTTAGGTTGATAATCATACCAGAATGGGAGCTTGATACCCAGTGTCTTCTTTGGTCAGCAGGCATGTTATATAAGTATACTGCAAGAATACAAAGAGAATTTGTTATCAAAATATATGGCAAAAACAAATTAAAAAAACAAAACTTATCTACCTAACATTGGTCCCTTCCACCTCTAGCACCAAGGATGATGTCATTACTGTTATCCTCTTATGTGTCCATTTCGCACCTTAAAATGTCAAAAATAGGAAACAATAGTAAGAAAATTGTGCATATAGCGCACAGCACTTGTATCGACTCCATTAGCGCAAAAGCCTCTGTAAAGTTATGATGTCTTTAGTTTTTTTTATCATTAGGCAAAGTCTTGTTGTGAGTTGCTTAGTAACATGACTGTCTGGCCCACCATGCCCTGTTTTGATGTGGTCCCATTACAACCACAAACAATCTATATTCTGCACTAATCCAATTTCCAAAAGGGTTTATATCTACATTGTATCTCCTTAGAACTAGTTAAATATTTCAGCATTACATGTATCATTCAAAAATAAACACGAGATCTAGCCAACACATTAGCTATAATAATGGATAAAGAACATGATGGAGATAGAATCATAAAGAATATACAAGTGGTTAATGTTTTTACAAAATTAATTCACGATCTGTTGCTGTATGTATTTTTGTCGAACATAATTTGAAGCTATCCTCTAAAGTTTTATTATCAGAACTAACCAAATGTGCACACTGGCAAATTGGTAGCGTTAGATAAAACATGAACGAGCAAAATACGTCCAAACATGATTGTAATCAGGAGTAACTGATCCTAACCGAAGGAGATTATTTTCAAATCAGTAGCTTTTAGCTAGTACCAACGCTAACGATGCTAGGTGTGATTGCAGGCATAATCTTACCTTGTGTCCCAAATCTGAAGAGGTTTGCTGCCGATGCTGTATAAAATAGACAAAAATCCACTCTGGAATGTATTTTTAAACATTTTAGCTGAAAAACTGTGTTTAGACACTAAACACACGTTCCGTCTTTTTTAATACAAAAGTTCCCGGTACATCTAATCAACACCCAACTTTCAGCCGCCACTCGTGCATATATTATCGTATTTGTGAACATCTTTTGTTGAAAAGCAAAGCAAAGCTTAATAGATCCATGTTGCTAAGTTGCGGTTCCCCCCGAACTTTGAAAAGAGCACATCCCCTAACCACGGCAAACCGAATGCAGGACGGGCACTAAAGATGTCAGAAAAGCAGACTGCCAAATTGGGCAAATGACTGTGCAAAAATATATTAAATACAAGCATTCAATTAATGTTAAAGTTAAAATTAAACTAAAGTTAAAAGTCTGAAATTATGAGATGGAATTTTCCATTTCATCAATTTGACATTTCTTAGCAAACCATCACCATAATACTAACTTTATACTTAATAAACAAAACAGGCTACTAAGTAGTACAAATGTACAAAAAAGAAAAAAAAAAGAATCTAATTTCACATTCATAATAACACCTTAACATTAAATTGTTACTTGACATCTATAAAAAATATTGTACATGAAATGCACATAACAGTAAATGAACAATATAAGTGTCTAATATTTGTGCATATGCTATAAACTTACACCAAGCTAAACAAATGGACCATGTATAATTTAACTATACTACTAACATATTTCACAAAGTCTTTGAACAAAGTAATGCAACTGTATGAATATAAGCAATGAGCATTTCTATCAAAAGGACTTTAGACTAAGAGCTTAGTTTTTAAGCTTCTCACTCGCTGGGAGCAAGTAGGAGTCAGTTCCATGAAAATGTGTTGAATAGCTTCAAATCTGTACCTATGCTCCTTTGGAAATTCCATGTTTAGTCCATAAAGAAGTCCAAAAAGAAACGCACAGGCAGTGGGAAGGTCTGGCAGATCAGCGAGAATGACGTTCTCTTCTAACACAATACCAATGTTGACAACAGTGGGCTCTGAAGCTGGTCCAGTGTAGTCTTCCAGAACAGCAAGAATGCCCACCTTCACACATTTGGTGGCCCTCTCGACTGGGTCTGTGTCCTGTTAAAACAAAAGAATTACAAGATAAGGACAGAGAGACAGGACAGGGAGACAGGACAGGGAGACAGGACAGGGAGACAGGACAGGGAGACGGGGACAGACCTACCTATACTTAGCCATATTTACCTATATCTCAGTAGCAGTTATAGCAACTAAGTAAATATTTTAAATCAATTTAGTCTTAATTTGTGTGAATTTTAACTCACCAGGCAGGTCAAAAACAGTTTGCTTTCAGTGTCCCGAACAAATATGGGTAATCCTTCAAGACAAATGGTTCGCCGATGCTGGACTATGTTTGACACCTAAAAGAAAATAATAAATGAGACCCAGTCAGGCCCAATTCTCAATCTAACTATTACAATAATTTATGTTCTCTTAAATTCAGAAGCAGGGCCACGCCTCATGCCCTCACTATTCCTACTGTGTGAACAGTTACTTTTTTTTTTTTCCACATCAAGTTTACCTTCATGAACTGCCTGAAATGTGTATTTGATGTTTTGTTTTGTTTTACATATATAAATAGATTTAAAAAATTAAGTCTAAGTAATTTATGTACAATTAAAAACTGGATTTAAATTACTTATTTTTGTTTCTAAAATTGCAATTACGTTTAGTTTTGGGACCTGGATAATCATGATTATTAATAAACCAAATAATTGAAACATGTCTTATTTCTGGAGAAATGTGCAAACCCTTATTCAGATTAGTTTATCATTTACTATTTATAACAGATCATGTAGAACTATAAATAATTTAAAAATGTCTTACCATAGATAAAAAGTTTTACTTATTTGGTTATCAAACCTCTGTAGGAGGTGATCCATTTCATTGTTGAATGCTCTTTTTCTGACCCGGAACAGTTTAATCAGTCGAATAGAGTAAGTATCAAGGGCAGCCATGAAGGTCTCCAACAGGTTCTTAGTGGTAATGCGCATAAATTCTGCACAGATCTTACACACACAAAAACACACAGTATTAAGGATCAACACTCATAAGCAGATTGTGTGACTGTGAAAAAATCTTTACCTGATCTTCAAAGAAGAGCGCTGGCCATCTCTCCTGTACCTCTTTGACCAAAGGTTGCATCTCCACAATTTCCTTTCTCCTCAGGGAGAATGTGAGGTCCATCTTTTGTCTGACCAGAGACATGTCCTTTCCCCTCTTCTTTAATTCATCCAGCATGAGGCATCTCTCCTGTTCTAAAGCAGCAGCATCATAATTTTTTGGATGTTGGGGGATAAAGTTAACTTCACCACGTTTTGGTTTCTTTAAAGAGAACCTGTTGGGGTCACTGCTATCGTCTCTCCCTCTTTTTCGATTGACTGCAACCTCATTACAGCCAGCCTCACGCAGTTTGGAGCGGTAGTTGCCAAGCTTACACTTAATACTTTTGTCCCATCCGGCGTATCCTGAGCCACTTCCAGGTTCCTTTAGGCAGGGATACTTGACAACCAGTTCAGCTGCAACAGAAGCTATTTCGTTCTTCTCAGGATAGGCTTTGATAGAAAATATTTGCTGTGCCAACTTGTCCAGTATTTCCATCTTGATGTCTCTTGTTACATCCAACCCAACACCAGTTTTTTCATACACTTCATTACCTTTGCAAAGTTTCAATTCAATGTCATAAGAAAACGAAGGGATTGGAAATGGGTGTGGCCACTGTGAGGTGCTGCGCATGTAGTTCCGAATGACTGATGATGGGCTGTAAGGAGAGTCTGATGAATGGAGGCTGGCTGTGTCAAGCGATGAGATGGACCCAATTTCTGATGGAGATTGTGGTTGAGGAGGTGTTTGTGGCTGAGATGCGGATGAACCATCACTCCAAACGAGGTGCAGGACTGCTCGTTCTGTGGCTAGCTCACTGATGTCCATCAAGTTACAAAGTGCATTGTCAAAATCAGGATCCTCGTATTGTATTGTGAATTCCTCCTCAAGTCCCAGCTTTTCCTTGAGTTCATCTTGAAGATGCTTTACAGATTCTGGTACAGTGGTCAACTTGATCCTCATCCGAAAAGGATGAGTTTTGTATTGATGTTGACTCGCAATAATAGTGCCTGTAAAAACAAAAACATTCAGAACAAATTAGAAGAGCAAAAAAAAAAATAAATAAAAATCACACAAACTGTAAGCACCCATAATAATGCACTTACCATGATTTTCTCATCTCAATTCAGCAGGCATGTAATGGGGGTCACCATCAATTTTCCAGCCACACAGTATGCAGTCAGTGGGTGGTGGTCGTTTAAGGCTTCTGGTATCAGTAGTTGAAGATCTGTGTAGCTGCTGTCAAGCTGATAAGATCTGAAATGTTCCATAAACCAAGATGAGAGCTTTCCAGTGACAAAAGACACTTTCTCTGAGTCAACCAAAATGTTCAGTATCTTGTAGAATTCAGGCAGCCCACTTAATTGACCTGCAGAAATAATCATGTCCTTGGCATACTGGGTCCCATGAAAATAAACACACTTGGCAAATGAAACAGTGTCCTGATGTGGATATTTCTCTTTTATAAGTTTCTGGAGTTTTTCTTCCAACCAACAGATGTCCCTTGTGTCAACATTACTCACTTGCAGCTGTGGTTTGAACAGATTTTGTCCATCCAGATAGTACCCCATCATTTGCTGATGCTTTGAGGAGAGTGTTAATAAAATATTCTTAAAGCACTGGACATCATGCACCACTCTTAAAGAAATTGTGCTTGGATTCAAATCTAATGGTCCACAGGTCAACTAAGGGCCCAAAGCAGCGGACAAGATGGGAATAGTGTTCGATAAAGTGATGCTTGGGCTTTAACTTAAAGTTTGGAAAAGTCTCAATGAGCAATCTACGATGGTCCAATATTTTAGAGTCCAAGTAAAAAAGTATGTCCTCCGTTACAGTTCTTGATACAACAATCTCAACAATGTCTTTAAGGTCCATCAATATGAGGGCTCATTTTCAGGAATGCGGCTCCCAATAATAAGAGGAAGCAAGCGCAAAAGCGTCCAATTTTCGTGTCCATTGCCACTAAGTCTTCCTGTTCCAAAACTAGCTTTTGTTATTTGCTGGGGCTTATTAATTTGATCTGAGAATTTGTATGGAAACTGTTTTATACGCGTGTTTAGCCCATCAAATGTAATAAACCCCTTTCTAATCAGTTCTTTAAGACATAAACATAGCTCTACAGGTATAACACCTTCAAAGAAGTCATGTAATATATCTGGGGGGAAACCAGTGATTGGGTGAAAGTAAGACAAGGCACTCAATGCACAAGGGCCCCTGACACCACAGACACTTTGACTATCACCACACTGAAGCTCTTGTACAAAGTTGTTATGCTGTTCTACAGTCCTCAAATGAAAATGTTGTGGATTAACAACTGTAATCTGATCACGATCAATAGTACAAAATCTGCAAAACTTGCCTGCGTTAAAAGACTCACTGAAGCCTGCAAGGCCGTGAGCCCCAAGGTTATCAGCACAAACACAATATACAGTTACTTTTATAAACTTATCAACAGGTTCAACAAACACTCCAGTACTCTCTAGAAACTTTAAGTCCTTAATGAGAGGGTAAAGAAATGCATCATACCCAAACTGTTTAACATCTGCACTTTTTCCAAGAACAGCAAGCTGAATCAAAGGTAAGGTGGAGCGAAACCTAGATGGTAAATTCAGTACAACCCAATACACCGCAGTAATTTTATGAATTTTCCTAGATGTTCCGAGGGGGTTGCATATTTCAAAATCATCTATATACAGGGCTATAGAAATGCATTCAGCTTGCTGCCCTAATTGACTGCTTTTGAAATATTGTCCATCTCTAAAAGATTTATATCGGCCTAGTTCATCACTTTCCTCAAAAAACAACTTCTCGTAAAAATATTCTTGTTTCAGTAAACTCTCTAAAACTTCAATAAATGAAACATACACAAATGTATTCCTTCGAGTTGTTCTGTAGGTGTACTCTGTGGGTTTGATTATAGGAAAGTGATTCCTAAAGTAGAGATTTCTCTTGTAATCAGAAGATAAGGTACCTTTTGGATCAGTGGATACAATTAATGGATTGGTTTTAAAAAATGCATCAATGATATTTTTAACTACACCGTCATCTACCTCAATATTCTGCTGAGTAAGCACCTCCTTGACTCTTTGAACTGAATGAAATTTAGAGAAGTTTAAAATGTCATTAATTTCTTCTATAATCTTTTGCAATGCACTTTTTGAAACATGCAACAGTGTTTGCATACACAAAAAAAGGCGAGCTACTTTGTGTTCAGAGGACTCATAATCTACACAGTCATTGTCCTCATTTGAAAGTACTGTCTCTGAACCACTTTGTAAAGTCTCTGCCTCCTCAGGCGTATCTACTGACTGCTCAGAAGAAGGACTTTCAGGATTACAATCACGAGATAGTCCTCGAAGACAGTTTTTTAAATCTTTTGAGTTTCTGTGCTTCTTGCTTATGTGGGCACTAAATGTTCTTGGATAGTTAGTGGAGAAATCACAATGTTGGAATGGACAGCACACAGTCTCTTTCTGTTTTAAGTGTCTCAGGAGATGAGAAATATAGGTGTTTTGTGAACAAATATCCTTAAATTCACAAAAATCACAGGAAAAGGTTAATATGTCCTGCCTTTTCACCGTCTTGTTGTGGGATCTGCTGAGGTGAGATCTTAATGCGCCTCTTGTCTTGAATGTGCAAACACAGTGAATGCAGGGCCAGTGAAATCCTCTTCTGTGCCGGAGTTGATGATGCCTTAGTAGAACGTCTTGGCTTGAACCCACAAAATTGCAGAAACGGCACTTCATACAACAGCTGGAATGAGAAGTGACAATATGGCAGTCATACAAGTTTTAAACTGTCAGATGCCCTCCCAAATTTTTATTTTTACGTATGTATGTATATTATTATATAATATACATTATAAATGTATATAATATTATACATGCAAAACAATATCAAACAGATCATCATTGAATGTACAAAATAATATTGCACATAAGAGTTTAAGAAGCAGAGATCCAATTAATACGCATCACTTACACTTTGCAGTGCATTTCATCAAATTGTACTTAAAATGGGTAAATAATAACCCATAAATTTACATCTTGACCAGTTCCTTTTATACCATATAATTTGCATTGACGGTACGCTTGAGAACGCAAACAAATTTGACACGAAATTACCTCAAAATGAACCGGGAGGGTGAACAGAAGTGCGGCCGGGAAACCGCTCCCTTTACACAGGCAGGGTCTCGTCTGACGCCCGTCAAGCCGGGGTCGCCCTCCGCGCCGTTTTACCGGGGACAACAACCAAAACCAAACCATCTGTGTAGTCGTTAGTCTCTGACACACTAATATTGCGAGAAAAAGAAATTCCCGTTACCTCTGCGATGTCTTTATTAAGCGGATGGATACGGGTAGCAGTACAAATCGAGACTGACGATAGCGCGGCTTACTTGGATAACATGTGCTCTAGCGCTGCACTTACTGCCGATTTGATCACTGAGGCCAGGTACTCGCTAACCAGCGGCCCCTGTTAAAATAGCATCGGGACAGCCTAGTATCAAACACGAATACCAACTCTGCAGCGAACCGCAACAACACCACAGCTCGCTCCAATCAGAGCACTTTCATGTAGACAGCTTTGCTTGTTGTTGCGCATTACTAAACCATCCGCCCAAATGACTGAACAAATGGGCTAACATCGGTGACAACTATTTAATGGTTTAAAAATTTAAGTAAATACATACGTAAATAATAAACAATAAGTTAGATTAGATTAAAGAGTTATACCCGTCTACCAAGCTGATTGGAACAAATATACAAACTAGTAAGAATAAATTTAGGAACACAATATGACTATTTTCCCAAATGAGTGGTTTGGTTGAACTATTCCTTACAAAAACAATCAAACGGAATTGTTGCACGATATAATGAGTTTTAAAGCATTAAAAAGGTAATTACCTGCCTTAAAGTCAAGTGTAGAGTCCAGACCTCGTGCGATGGTAATGGCGGACGGAGTCCTTGCAAAAGCCCCGAGGCCAACCCGTAGGAGAAAAATGGATCGTTTGCGCATGCGTGCACATGCGCAGTAAAGGTTTTTCAGCTCAACGAATATCAAACTGTGTTTTTTTCATTTTCTCAACAAAAAATGTGATCTTAGGCCAACTTCTGGTCATGAATTCATTTATATTACTTGAGACAACTAATATAGTATAGTTTGTATGACAATTTACATTTTTTTGCTATTGTAGGTCAAAAACCTCAGTTGCTTCAGCAACTTAAAGTTAGATTTTTTACAGTGTATATTCACATAGAAACCCAGTGTTTTGAAAGCCTTTTGGCCAACATAAGATGTCTCTTTTCTATATTAAAATAGTAGACTGTATTGTGTAAATAATACATTTCAAGTGCATCACTACTTTAGTAGTTAAGTAAATAAAATATAAAAACTGCAAATTGAGATGCAGTATTTGTAAATAGATGATGAACAAACAGGCAGCCTCATTCCTGTGCTCATCAAATGCAGCATCAATGCAAGCTTTGTAAGCTGGTGTAGCAATCATTGTAGATCTTGGCTTTGTGCTTTTTTTTTTTTTCATATTTCAGTTTTACATTGTATATTATCTGCCATAATAAGAAAGTTTGTGATTTGTTTTTGCACTATTCATATGCAGGCACTCACACATTGTAATGACCAGAAGGCACTTAAATTATGATTTACAATCAATAAGTTCTTGAAGTAATATTTTTGTAGACGTTTTTGAGAATGTGTATGTTAATTTAAGTGAAGAGAAAAGCTGTTTAGGAGGAAGTCATGTAGTTTTCTTTCATGACATTCAAGTGCTCTTGGAGTTGATTATATTGTTTGAGTACTTAACTTGAAGTGCCTGCTGGAAATTGTTTTTGAATAAATATTGGACCAACAGAAACTACTAAGAGGCAGTGCATGTAACTAGTACTAATTTAAATAAATGGCATAACAGGAATACGGGGGAGTCTGCTGCTATACCTTTACAAAAGCATGCTTTTTTTTTTTTGGTTTTGCCTTTGTTTTTGATAGTTTAAATAATGTATAAATAATGTAAGTTTATTTGTACTAATAATAATAGTAATAATGTCTCTTCCTATGTACACAAATACGAGGTAGATTATTTATATGATTTTGACATTGTATGGAAGTTTTGTTCAGTACTTCTGGTACATTTGCTCTGCATAAAATCCAAAGATGTTTACTTAATGAAATAAAGTTATAATAACCAATGAGTCTACAAAATACTTTATTTTCACAGAGTAACACAAGAGGGAACATCTTCACAACAAAAAATAAACACTTAAACTCCATTACAACAAGGTGGAAGTGGCTGTGTCGGGAAGCTTTACTGCTGCTGCAAAAAAAAAAAACAGTAATACAATTAAAATCAATTCAGATTGTCCAAAGTATCATAACTCTTTGTTGAACAGGGCCTTACCTTTGCCTTCTGGTTTTGAACAGGCACGTACAGTTTAAATTCAGCTGGTAACTCATCCTCAGAATAAAGTCTGTCTGAGAAATATATCCTCCTTATGCGGCAGTTGGCATGGATCTAGAATAAATGTTATAATAAGACAGTATATAAGACAGTATAATAGTCTACATGATTTTGCCACAGTATCCAGTGTACATACCTGTACCCTTAGCGTCTCGATGTAGTTGGTTCCGTACGCTCTCCTGGTGAAGTCCGACAGGTTGAACTGAATCTGGTTCCAGCCGTCGTCAAGCCGCATTGGCATCGTGCAGATAAAAGGTTTCACTCTCGTCGTGCTCCGATAGTTACTTGCCCTGAACCTCCGACGAACATTTTTGTCATCTAACACCTGACAAATATGAGAGAAAAAGATGTACAAAAATTAAATTGGTCGCTACTTTAAAAAGTTGTAAGGTGTTTGAGTGTCTCTAAACTGTTGAAGAGCCATACCTGAACTTCAAAGGAAAAATATTTCTTTAGGTGTTTGATAATCATGACCAGAAATGGGAGCTTGATACCCAGTGTCTTCTTTGGGTCAGCAGGGCATGTTATATAAGTAGTACTGCAAGAATACAAAGAGAAATTTGTTATCAAAATATATGGCAACAAACAAATTAAAAAAACAAAACTTATCCTACCTAACATTGGTCCCTTTCCACCTCTAGCACCAAGGAGTGGATGTCATTATCTGTTATCCTCTTTATGTGTCCATTTTGCACCTTAAAATGTCAAAAATAGGAAACAAATAGTAAGAAAATTGTGCATATAGCCGCACAGCACTTGTATTCGACTCCATTAGCGCAAAAGCCTCTGTAAAGTTATGATGTCCTTTAGTTTTTTTTATCATTAGGCAAAGTCTTGTTGTGAGTTGCTTAGTAACATGACTGTCTGGCCCACCATGCCCTGTTTTGATGTGGTCCCATTACAACCACAAACAATCTATATTCTGCACTAATCCAATTTCCAAAAGGGTTTATATCTACATTTTATCTCCTTAGAACTAGTTAAATATTTTAGCATTACATGTATCATTCAAAAAATAAACACGAGATCTAGCCAACACATTAGCTATAATAATGGATAAAGAACATGATGGAGATTAGAATCATAAAGAATCATACAAGTGGTTAATGTTTTTACAAAATTAATTCACGATCTGTTGCTGTATGTATTTTGTCGAACATAATTTGAAGCTATCCTCCTAAAGTTTTATTATTAGAACTAACCAAATGTGCACACTGGCAAATTGGTAGCGTTAGATAAAACATGAACGAGCAAAATACGTCCCAAACATGATTGTAATCAGGAGTAACTGATCCTAACCGAAGGAGATTATTTTCAAATCAGTAGCTTTAGCTAGTACCAATCGCTAACGATGCTAGGTGTGATTGCAGGCATAATCTTACCTTTTTGTCCCAAATCTGAAGAGGTTTGCTGCCGATGCTGTATAAAATAGACAAAAATCCACTCTGGAATGTATTTTTAAACATTTTAGCTGAAAAACTGTTGTTTAGACACTAAACACACGTTCCGTCTTTTTTAATACAAAAGTTCCCGGTACATCTAATCAACACCCAACTTTCAGCCGCCACTCGTGCATATATTATCGTATTTGTGAACATCTTTTGTTGAAAAGCAAAGCAAAGCTTAATAGATCCATGTTGCTAAGTTGCGGTTCCCCCCCGGAACTTTGAAAAGAGCACATCCCGTAACCACGGCAACCGAATGCAGGACGGGCACTAAAGATGTCAGAAAAAGCAGACTGCCAAATTGGGCAAATGACTGTGCAAAAATATATTATATACAAGCATTCAATTAATGTTAAAGTTAAAATTAAACTAAAGTTAAAAGTCTGAAATTATGAGATGGAATTTTCCATTTCATCAATTTGACATTTCTTAGCAAACCATCACCATAATACTAACTTTATACTTAATAAACAAAACAGGCTACTAAGTAGTACAAATGTACAAAAAAGAAAAAAAAAAGAATCTAATTTCACATTCATAATAACACCTTAACATTAAATTGTTACTTGACATCTATAAAAAATATTGTACATGAAATGCACATCCAACAGTAAATGAACAATATAAGTGTCTAATATTTGTGCATATGCTATGGAAACTTTTACACTGTCCAAGCTAAACTCAATATTGGACAGCAATGTATATGTTATTTAAACTACCTACTAACTAACATATTTCACAAAGTCTTTGAACAAAGTAATGCAACTGTATGAATATAAGCAATGAGATGCATTTCTATCAAAAGGACTTTAGACTAAGAGCTTAGTTTTTAAGCTTCACTCGCTGGGAGCAAGTAGGAGTCAGTTCCATGAAAATGTGTTGAATAGCTTCAAATGTGTACCTATGCTCCTTTGGAAATTCCATGTTTAGTCCATAAAGAAGTCCAAAAAGATACGCACAGGCAGTGGGAAGGTCTGGCAGATCAGCGAGAATGACGTTCTCTTCTAACACAATACCAATGTTGACAACAGTGGGCTCTGAAGCTGGTCCAGTGTAGTCTTCCAGAACAGCAAGAATGCCCACCTTCACACATTTGGTGGCCCTCTCGACTGGGTCTGTGTCCTGTTAAAACAAAAGAATTACAAGATAAGGACAGAGAGACAGGACAGGGAGACAGGACAGGGAGACAGGACAGGGAGACGGGGACAGACCTACCTATACTTAGCCATATTTACCTATATCTCAGTAGCAGTTATAGCAACTAAGTAAATATTTTAAATCAATTTAGTCTTAATTTGTGTGAATTTTAACTCACCAGGCAGGTCAAAAACAGTTTGCTTTCAGTGTCCCGAACAAATATGGGTAATCCTTCAAGACAAATGGTTCGCCGATGCTGGACTATGTTTGACACCTAAAAGAAAATAATAAATGAGACCCAGTCAGGCCCAATTCTCAATCTAACTATTACAATAATTTATGTTCTCTTAAATTCAGAAGCAGGGCCACGCCTCATGCCCTCACTATTCCTACTGTGTGAACAATTACTTTTTTTTTTTTTCCACATCAAGTTTACCTTCATGAACTGCCTGAAATGTGTATTTGATGTTTTGTTTTGTTTTACATATATAAATAGATTTAAAAAATTAAGTCTAAGTAATTTATGTACAATTAAAAACTGGATTTAAATTACTTATTTTTGTTTCTAAAATTGCAATTACGTTTAGTTTTGGGACCTGGATAATCATGATTATTAATAAACCAAATAATTGAAACATGTCTTATTTCTGGAGAAATGTGCAAACCCTTATTCAGATTAGTTTATCATTTACTATTTATAACAGATCATGTAGAACTATAAATAATTTAAAAATGTCTTACCATAGATAAAAAGTTTTACTTATTTGGTTATCAAACCTCTGTAGGAGGTGATCCATTTCATTGTTGAATGCTCTTTTTCTGACCCGGAACAGTTTAATCAGTCGAATAGAGTAAGTATCAAGGGCAGCCATGAAGGTCTCCAACAGGTTCTTAGTGGTAATGCGCATAAATTCTGCACAGATCTTACACACACAAAAACACACAGTATTAAGGATCAACACTCATAAGCAGATTGTGTGACTGTGAAAAAATCTTTACCTGATCTTCAAAGAAGAGCGCTGGCCATCTCTCCTGTACCTCTTTGACCAAAGGTTGCATCTCCACAATTTCCTTTCTCCTCAGGGAGAATGTGAGGTCCATCTTTTGTCTGACCAGAGACATGTCCTTTCCCCTCTTCTTTAATTCATCCACCATGAGGCATCTCTCCTGTTCTAAAGCAGCAGCATCATAATTTTTTGGATGTTGGGGGATAAAGTTAACTTCACCACGTTTTGGTTTCTTTAAAGAGAACCTGTTGGGGTCACTGCTATCGTCTCTCCCTCTTTTTCGATTGACTGCAACCTCATTACAGCCAGCCTCACGCAGTTTGGAGCGGTAGTTGCCAAGCTTACACTTAATACTTTTGTCCCATCCGGCGTATCCTGAGCCACTTCCAGGTTCCTTTAGGCAGGGATACTTGACAACCAGTTCAGCTGCAACAGAAGCTATTTCGTTCTTCTCAGGATAGGCTTTGATAGAAAATATTTGCTGTGCCAACTTGTCCAGTATTTCCATCTTGATGTCTCTTGTTACATCCAACCCAACACCAGTTTTTTCATACACTTCATTACCTTTGCAAAGTTTCAATTCAATGTCATAAGAAAACGAAGGGATTGGAAATGGGTGTGGCCACTGTGAGGTGCTGCGCATGTAGTTCCGAATGACTGATGATGGGCTGTAAGGAGAGTCTGATGAATGGAGGCTGGCTGTGTCAAGCGATGAGATGGACCCAATTTCTGATGGAGATTGTGGTTGAGGAGGTGTTTGTGGCTGAGATGCGGATGAACCATCACTCCAAACGAGGTGCAGGACTGCTCGTTCTGTGGCTAGCTCACTGATGTCCATCAAGTTACAAAGTGCATTGTCAAAATCAGGATCCTCGTATTGTATTGTGAATTCCTCCTCAAGTCCCAGCTTTTCCTTGAGTTCATCTTGAAGATGCTTTACAGATTCTGGTACAGTGGTCAACTTGATCCTCATCCGAAAAGGATGAGTTTTGTATTGATGTTGACTCGCAATAATAGTGCCTGTAAAAACAAAAACATTCAGAACAAATTAGAAGAGCAAAAAAAAAAAAAAAAAATCACAAACTGTAAGCACCCATAATAATGCACTTACCATGATTTTCTCATCTCAATTCAGCAGGCACGTAATGGGGGTCACCATCAATTTTCCAGCCACACAGTATGCAGTCAGTGGGTGGTGGTCGTTTAAGGCTTCTGGTATCAGTAGTTGAAGATCTGTGTAGCTGCTGTCAAGCTGATAAGATCTGAAATGTTCCATAAACCAAGATGAGAGCTTTCCAGTGACAAAAGACACTTTCTCTGAGTCAACCAAAATGTTCAGTATCTTGTAGAATTCAGGCAGCCCACTTAATTGACCTGCAGAAATAATCATGTCCTTGGCATACTGGGTCCCATGAAAATAAACACACTTGGCAAATGAAACAGTGTCCTGATGTGGATATTTCTCTTTTATAAGTTTCTGGAGTTTTTCTTCCAACCAACAGATGTCCCTTGTGTCAACATTACTCACTTGCAGCTGTGGTTTGAACAGATTTTGTCCATCCAGATAGTACCCCATCATTTGCTGATGCTTTGAGGAGAGTGTTAATAAAATATTCTTAAAGCACTGGACATCATGCACCACTCTTAAAGAAATTGTGCTTGGATTCAAATCTAATGGTCCACAGGTCAACTAAGGGCCCAAAGCAGCGGACAAGATGGGAATAGTGTTCGATAAAGTGATGCTTGGGCTTTAACTTAAAGTTTGGAAAAGTCTCAATGAGCAATCTACGATGGTCCAATATTTTAGAGTCCAAGTAAAAAAGTATGTCCTCCGTTACAGTTCTTGATACAACAATCTCAACAATGTCTTTAAGGTCTATCAATATGAGGGCTCATTTTCAGGAATGCGGCTCCCAATAATAAGAGGAAGCAAGCGCAAAAGCGTCCAATTTTCGTGTCCATTGCCACTAAGTCTTCCTGTTCCAAAACTAGCTTTTGTTATTTGCTGGGGCTTATTAATTTTATCTGAGAATTTGTATGGAAACTGTTTTATACGCGTGTTTAGCCCATCAAATGTAATAAACCCCTTTCTAATCAGTTCTTTAAGACATAAACATAGCTCTACAGGTATAACACCTTCAAAGAAGTCATGTAACATATCTGGGGGGAAACCAGTGATTGGGTGAAAGTAAGACAAGGCACTCAATGCACAAGGGCCCCTGACACCACAGACACTTTGACTATCACCACACTGAAGCTCTTGTACAAAGTTGTTATGCTGTTCTACAGTCCTCAAATGAAAATGTTGTGGATTAACAACTGTAATCTGATCACGATCAATAGTACAAAATCTGCAAAACTTGCCTGCGTTAAAAGACTCACTGAAGCCTGCAAGGCCGTGAGCCCCAAGGTTATCAGCACAAACACAATATACAGTTACTTTTATAAACTTATCAACAGGTTCAACAAACACTCCAGTACTCTCTAGAAACTTTAAGTCCTTAATGAGAGGGTAAAGAAATGCATCATACCCAAACTGTTTAACATCTGCACTTTTTCCAAGAACAGCAAGCTGAATCAAAGGTAAGGTGGAGCGAAACCTAGATGGTAAATTCAGTACAACCCAATACACCGCAGTAATTTTATGAATTTTTCTAGATGTTCCGAGGGGGTTGCATATTTCAAAATCATCTATATACAGGGCTATAGAAATGCATTCAGCTTGCTGCCCTAATTGACTGCTTTTGAAATATTGTCCATCTCTAAAAGATTTATATCGGCCTAGTTCATCACTTTCCTCAAAAAACAACTTCTCGTAAAAAATATTCTTGTTTCAGTAAACTCTCTAAAACTTCAATAAATGAAACATACACAAATGTATTCCTTCGAGTTGTTCTGTAGGTGTACTCTGTGGGTTTGATTATAGGAAAGTGATTCCTAAAGTAGAGATTTCTCTTGTGATCAGAAGATAAGGTACCTTTTGGATCAGTGGTTACAATTAATGGATTGGTTTTAAAA